CAGTTTGATCAGTCAGAAAAGGGGCTGAAGGGAGCAGTTTGCAAGGAACAGATTACAGATGAACCGGGTTGGAAGGCACCTTGGAAGTCATCTAGTCCAACCCCCCCTCCCACCCAAACAGGAGACCCTACACCATTTCTGACAGATACCAGTCCAGTCTCTTCTTGAAGGCCTCCAGGGATGAAGCTCCCACAACTTCCGAGGGCAACTTCTGTTCCACGGGTTGATTGTTCTCACTGTCAGAAAGTTTCTCCTTATTTCCGGGTTGAATCTCTCCTTGGTCAGTTTCCATCTATTATTCCTTGTCTGGCCTTTAGGTGCCTTGGAGAATAGCTTGACCCCTTCCTCCTCTCTGTGGCAGCCCCTCAAATACTGGAAGGCTGCTCTCCTGCCTCCCCTGGTCCTTCTCTTTCCTAGACTAGCCAGGCCCAGTTCCTGCAACCGTTCATCGTACTTTTTAGTCTCCAGTCCCCTTATCATCCTGGTTGCTCTTCTCTGCACTTTTTCTAGAGCCTCAGCATCTTTTTTACATCTCTTCTTTGGGGCAGCCCCTCAAATATTGGAAGACTGCTATCATGTCAACCCTATCCTTCTTTTCCTCCAACTAGACATGGCTTCTGTCCATCCATGGTTTGCTCAGATGCCTTTATTTCCTTCCTTCCTTCCTTCCTTCCTTCCTTCCTTCCTTCCTTCCTTCCTTCCTTCCTTCTTTCTTTCTTTCTTTCTTTCTTTCTTTCTTTCTTTCTTTCTTTCTTTCTTTCTTTCTTTCTTTCTTTCTTTCTTTCTTTCGCTTTGGAAAATAGCTTGACTCCCTCCTCTCTGTGGCAGCTATTGGAAGACTGCTCTCCTGCCTCCCCTGGTCCTTCTCTTCCCTATAGACTAGCCATGCCCAGTTCTTGCAACCGCTCGTCGTGTCTTTTAGCCTCTGGTCCCCTCATCATTCTGGTTGCTTTTCTCTGCACTCTTTTCAAGACTCTCAACACCTTTTTTATAGTGCAGTGAACAAAACTGGATGCAGTACTCTAGGTGTGGTCTAGATAGGTGGAACAACAGGCAGGTGTTGTTTGGTTGCAAATCCCATAGAGGTCTAGAGTAGGAAAGCCTAGAAGGGAGCATTCATTGTGCGGATGTTGGGCTAAAGGAATGTTGGTTCCCTTCCCAGGATCTGAGCCTCAGTAAGATGGGAGAGGAAGTTGCCCGCTTGGCTCCTTTTGAAGGCGAGTGTATCCGGAAGGAGGCAGTGATCGCCGTTCTGCGGGAAGAGGTCCAGGCCATGCAGAAACAGCTGGAGCAGCTCCAGAAATGGCAGGCCACTATTTTAGAGAGAATTTCAGAGGAGGTAATCACTCACTTTTCTTTGCTTCCCAGTCTTGTCTCGGTAGCGGCCGGGACCTTTTTTTATTTATTTCCCCACCCCACCCCAAAGCAGCAAAGTTTTCTTTAACAAGATTTATTACTAGCACTAGCAATAAGCCCTTAGGCAGGCTTGTATACTGCTTCACGCCATGGGAGAATAGAATAAAATGGAGTGGAGTGGAGTGGAATAGGAGAGAAATAGAGTAAAGTAGAGTAGAATAGAATGAATTAGAATTAGAATGGAATAGAATAAATTAGAATAGGATAAAATGAATTAGAATTATAATAGAATGAATTAGAATGAATTAGAATTAGAATAGAATAGAATGAATTAGAATAGGATAAAATGAATTAGAATTATAATAGAATGAATTAGAATTAGAATGAATTAGAATTAGAATAGAATAGAATGAAGTAGAATAGAATGAATTAGAATTAGAATAGAATTAAAATGGAATGAATTAGAATAGAATGAATTAGAATTAGAATAGAATTAAAATAGAATGAATTAGAATAGAATGAATTAGATTAGATTAGAATAGAATAGAATAGAATAGGATAAAATAGAACAGAACGAATTAGAATTAAAATAGAATAAGATTAGATTATATTAGAATTGAATACAACAGAACGAAATCGAATAGGATAGGAATAAGAATAAGAAATAGAAATAGAATAGAATGAATTAGAATTAGAACAGAATAGAATAGAAAATAAAAATAGAATAGGAGTAGACTAGAGAAAAATGCAGATGACTAGTCCTCAACTTACAGCCATCATGGGCAGGCTCCCTTATCGTCATAAGTTGAGGGCTACCCATGTTACCTCCCGTAAATCCCAACGTTCAGAATAGCCCAAACTGCCGAACCCTCACCCGTCACCCCCCTCCCAAAAAAATATCCATCAAGTTTGCTTTTGAACCCTCCTTCCCAGAAGCGTGGCAAAGTGGAGGCTTGGTCCGAATGGGAACTCATCCAGCCGCCTACGCTTGGCACCTGGCCCTCCATTGTGCTGGACGAGAAGAGCATCCCCTCGGTCTACGTGGACCAGGTCGACCGGTCAGAAGACTCCAGCCAGGAGTTTGAGCGCCTGAAAGAGCTGCTGAGCCGGTCGGAGGAGATGTTGGATTCGAAAGCGCTGTTTGTGAAGAAAGAACTCTTAAAAGACCAGGTGGAACTTGAGCACTTAGAGAAGGAGGTAAGAAGCCACCCCCTCCTCCCCAAAAACTCACCGGGGTCGGTCAAAGATCTGGAAAAGTGCATGGGCGGGATAGGAATGCAGGGTGGTCCTCGACTTACGACCACGGTGGAGGTGTTCTGGCCCAGACACACACACACACACACACAGGGACACGGCGACCGTCATAAATACTGATCCATTGCCTAAGTGTGGGAATTTTGAACACGCAGCGGAGACTGCGATGGTTGTAAGGGTGAAAAAATGGTCCCGTCGCTTTTTCCAGTGCCGTTGTAACTTTGGTCATTAAATGAACTGTTGTAACTGGAGGATTACCTGTATTGCAAAAAGCAAAAGTGAATTACAGATAGTCCTCGACTTGCAACTGTTTGTTTAACGACCGAAGCGACAACGGCTCTGAAAAAAGCGACTTAGGACCGTTTTTCACTCTTCACGCAGCCTCCCTGCGAGATCAAAATTCCCACGCTTGGCAACGGACTCGTATTTATGATGGTTCGCCCTGCCCTGGCAGTCAGGTGATTTACCTTTGGCGACTTCCTGATGAGCAAAGTGGACAGAATAACAGAATGATAGAGTTGGCGGGGGGACGGGACCTCGGAGGTCTTCTAGCCCAACCTGCCGCTCAAGCAGGAGACACTTCCATACCGAACAAAAGAATGATGAGAAGCCCGATTTCACGGAACAAACTGCGCAACTAACTTACCAACTGCAGCGAATTCCCTCAATAACCGTAGCAAAGATGATCGTAAACATGGGGCAAAATTCACTTTTAACAACTGTTCCTACTTAGCCGTCTAAGCTTTGGGCTGGCTCTCTCATGAGAGAGAGAGCACAGTTACAGCTGATGCCTTCCACTATCCTGGAATCATCAGAAAGACGATGGCATTTTCCCCTTCCCCCTCCCCTTTTGTAAAGAACAACACAATCACAATCGCAACAACGAGTCTCTTTTCTCCCCCCCCCACTCTTTCCCGGCCGCCTCCCGCAACATCGACGTGGCTGAAAAAGAGCCTGGTGGAAATAGAAGATGAGATGCTCTCCAGCAGCGAATCCAAAGGGCAGGAAGGCGATTCGAGCGATCTGGATGAATCGGAGAACACGCTGATCCTCTACAAGCTGCTGGAGTTCCAGAAGGTGAACGAGATCCTCTACGAAGAGCTGAAGAAAGCGCGGAACGAGTACGAGCTGGCCACAGGTATCCCTAGGCACCTCGAGAACCCGGAGTGGGAAATAAGAGTGAAGTAGAGCGGGGTCGCCCACCTTTTGGACCTCAAGGACCGCCAAACTCATGATTTTAAATCCTGCGGACCAGAGACCCTGGGAAAATCCGCAAAAAAGTCTGCAGGAAAATTCCCCTCCCCGTTTTCCTACCGATCGATCATTCTTTATTTGGGATCGTAGAAATACTGTCTCCAGCTCTGTTCTTAGTGGGGGGGAGAGAGAGAGAGAGAGAGAGAGAGACTTTTGACTTCATGCAAAGAAAACAGCAGAAGCAGCAGAAGTCTTTCTTTCTCTCCCCCAAACTCCGCCAGAAATGAGTCTTTGTGAGACTTGTCGCACTGGCGCAGCCTCTTGGAGCAGGAGGGCTTGCAAGGTCCCCAAAGACTCATTTCTGGCGGAGTTTGGGGGAGAGAAAGAAAGACTTTTGCTGCTTTCCTTGCATGCAGCCAAAAGCAGAAGAAGAAAGAAGTGGAAAGAAGCAGCCCGGTGACCAGACCAGGCGTGTGGGGCATGTGGGGCAAGTTCCCCCCCTCCGCCCTTTCCCCCCTCCCCTCACTACCTCATGTTGTTCACAATGCAAGCGATGCAGGCCTTGTGTTCCTGCGCAGCCTGGATTAGTTAGTTAGTTTATTTTCATTGCACCTCGTACAATGAAATCAAACTCAGTGCACTTCAAGACCATGAAAATAAACACAAACACACATCCTTTACACTCCACATTAATTGCTTTGGGGGGGGTGTTTTGGGGGTGACATTTCCCTGCAGACCACCAAAATTTTCTCACGGACCACCCGTGATCCCCGGCCCACTTGGCTGGCGACCCCTGGAGTCGAGTAGAATAGGAATGCGGAATAAAATGCCGCTTTGAGTGGACCTTAAGCAAACTGTTCTAAGTCAAGGACTGCCTGTAAAAAAAAAGCTAAGAAAGGAAGCGTGGGGTGGAAATGTGGGTGGGTGGGCTTCCTCTCCTGCCTCCCACTTGCTCCCCCAGGTGCAATTTCATCCCTGCAAAGAGAGCTGTCTTTCGAGGAATCCCAACTGCGGAAAGCCGACGTGGAAAAAGAAGCTTTGCGGAAGGAACTCGGGGAACGAGGCAAACAGCTGGAGGCCATGTCGAATAAGGTTCGGTCACACGGGCTCGGCCAGTGCAGTGGTGGAATTCATTTTTTTTTTACTACTGGTAGTAATAAATTACAGGTAGTAGTAAATTACTACCAGTAGTACTGATGGGTGGGGCGTTGCTTGGTGGGCATTACTTGGTGGGCGTGGCAGGGGAAGGATATACTGCAAAATCCCCCTTCCTTCCTTACCCCACTAACCTGCTTCCCAGCTCCGTTCTCCTGTGCAGGGCGACCCAAGGAGGCCCAGCCAATCAGCCGGGACTCGGGAGGCGGAGAATAGATGGGGGTGGGGCCAGTCAGAGGTGTCATTTGCCAGTTCTCCAAACGACTCAAGATTTCCGCTACCGGTTCTGGAGAACCGGTCAGAATCGGCTGAATTACCACCTGTGCTCCCGGGCGGTCGGGAAAAATGGATTTTTACAGGGTTGGGATTCGCACTCTGCCCCCAGTGAGTTTAGTGGCTCGGCTTGGGTCCCTGCAAAGGATTCTCCAATCTCTTCTTTTAAAACCTCCCATGTTGGAGCAAATCACCACTTCTGGAGCGGTGAAAAACGGTCCTAGGTCACCTTTTTCTTCAGCGCTGTTAACTTCGGAAACTAAATAAACTGTTGCTAAGTGGAGGACTAGCTGTGGTGGGTGTAATGGGCAGCAGAAATCATTTTGAAGGAGAGGAAGAAGAGACCAAAAGAAAAAGGAATCCCAATTTGGGAAAGATAAAACAAAAGATAAAAGGGAAGGAAGGTCAAATCCAACAGGCTTGCTTTTTTTATTTTGTTTTTACGATTAAATATTATTATTTTTTTTGGTGATCAAAATACAGAATACATCTTGATTTTTTTTTCTTTGTTAGCCTAAGAGGCTTTCTTGGTCACCTTGACTTTTGTCCTTCTGTTGATGCCACCTAGGATGGCTTTTTGGGAATGTGGGGCAGCTACAGCGTTCTGCTGACTAATCTGGTGGGGAAGACACATTTTATTCTAAAAAACGAATAAAATAAAATAAAATAAAACTTGCTCGTTGGAAATCCCCAGTGCAGGAACTTTGCACAAGCGCTGCCTTTCCCTTCTTAGTTTTCCAACTTGCGGGAAGAGAGGAAACACGAAGAAATGATGGGCACCATCGAGAGAGAGAATTGCAAACTTCGACAGGTAAAGGAACACACACATACACCCCTTCCTTGGATATCTTCTCAGCAGATTTCTCCTCTTTGTGGGGTGTTTGGGTCAGCCCCACTCCGTAAACCCAATCAACTGCTGCGTATGGTGCAAGGTTAATGCAATATCAGGGGTTTTCAATTCAATTGGTATAGAATGCAAAGGAGGTGTATTTGTGTTTTATTTTTTATATAGTTATAATCTACGCTGAAGATGGCATTTAATTTTGTTGTATAAGGTGCAATGACAATAAAGTAAACTAACTAACCCAGTGATGGCTAACCTTTTCAGCTTGGTGTGTCGAAAATCGGGATAAAGTGTAGCCTTCCTCGGGTCGTGTGTCACTTCCAAGAAATATCAATAATTTGGTTTATGACGGACTGGGCTGGGGCGATCACACAAGGCTGTGAAACTCGTCTCCCCGGTCTCAGGGCTGCAGGTGCAGGATGTGGGGATCGGAAGGCCACCTTACAGGGCTGTGAACCTCATGGATCTCCTTTCTTCCTGTAGCGTTCCTGAGGTAATGAAACTGACAAACCTCAGTTTATGGCGGTTAAAACTGGTTCTCTGCTGCAAAGATCTCGCGGCAGCGGTGACACCACGCCTCCACGCCACAAGCAGGGAGCAGGGATTGGAGCAGAGCACAGGCAGCCTCTAAATGTGCAGGTTTTCCCCACACCCACAGGCGTGTCAGTCAAAGTGCCTTGGCGTGTCACGAGTGACACGCGTGTCATAGGTTAGCCATCACTGAACTAACCGTTCTGTTCTATTCCTATGTTCCATATTTCTAGTTCTATGTTCTGTTTCTCTTCCTATTTTTAGTTTAGGTAAAGGACTGCGAAAATGACCGGATTCTCTCAATTGCCTTTTTCTTTTCCCTCCTCTTCCTTCCTGCCCAGGAGGTGACCAAGCTGGAAGTCCAGCTGGCAGACAGAGACCAGGCCATCCACACCTTACAAACCAACGTCCAGCAGCTTCAGTCCGAGTTACTGGTGAACAAGCACCACACCGGTAAGAAGATGAGCAGCCAGAATGAACTCCAGAAGCAGCTGGACATTTTGCAACGGGCGGAGCAGCAGACGAGAGTCACCCTGGAGAGCGTCAGCGCCCGGGTAAGATTGGAACACGGTCATTAAGTGAATCCGGCTTGCCTCATTGACTTTGCTGCTCAGGCGGTCGCAAAAGCGTATCCTGGGACCCGGGACCCGGGGGGGGGGGGGGGGGAAACACTGTGACCGTCGTAAATAGGGACCGGTTTGCCAGGCGTCCAAATTTTGATCGCATGACCGCAGGGACGCCGCCATGGCCATAAGTGTGCTGTTGTCATTTCAAATGGTCACTAAACAAGCCATTGTAAGTTGGCTACCTCTACCTGGCTCAAGAGCAGGAACTGCTTCCTTAGGTGTCTTAGTAACAATCACTTAACTATGAGCCAGCGGTGTGTGGCAGCTGCCAAAAAAAAAAACCCAAACCCCAGTCATTTTTTTTTCAGTGCTGTTGTAACTTTGAATGGTCACTAAATGTGGCAATCCAAGAACTACCTAGACTGCATCCTTATAATAAAAATACCCTGTTTCCCTGAAAATAAGTCCCAACTGGAAAATAAGGCCTAACGCGACACCCGAACGCGTCGTTTGGAGCGAAAAAATAATAATAATACAAGACCGGGTCTTATTTTGGGGGAAACACGCTAGCATTAGCCTGCCTGACTCTGGGGGCTCTAATGTGCTCTACCTTGAAGGGAAGCAAATATCAAACCTTAGCAAGTCCCCAGCAGCTGCCTGTTCCTCCCATTCTGCGTTCCGGTTTTTACGCTTTCCCTCTTTTCTCTCTCTCTCTCTCTCTCTCTCTCTCTCTCTCTCTTTCTTTTGAAAGTTCGAAAGGTTCCGCAGCAAAATCATCCAAGCCGCTTACAGCACCCCCGGCACCAAGTCCCCACAGGCGGAAATCACCGATGAGGAGGTTTTGGAGGCCTTGCAGGTAACCCTGGAGTCGTCGGGATGGTGGAAAGACCGGCGGGCGTGGGTGTGGGGCCGGGGGGAGGGGGAGACCCCTGGCCCGGCGAGGCTGTCCCCCCCGCCCACACCTTCCTGACGGACGCCCCTGTCTTTCAGAAAATCATCACCGACCGTCTCGATTTCCATCAAATGCTGAAGCAGAAAGGCGTGAAGGTCCCGTCGCTCAGCTCCGAGCCTGCCCCACCACCGACTCATAAGAAAAAAGGCGGAGGGAAATAACCACCCCCCCTTTAAAAAAAAAAAAAACCTTCCCCTTGCCCCCCCAAAAAAATCTCTTGAATTCCTTATTCTGCTCCTGAGCTGTTGCTTTTCCTGTCTCCAATTAAACGATGGCACTCGTGTTTTTTTTTCCTCCTTCCCTTGGCTTGTGCGCGAGTATGATTGTTAATTGAAATCAGTAGGATTACTGGTTGAAGTGTTAGCTGTATAAAGCCTTCGTCTGGCCACACCTGCATCCAGTTCTGGTCCCCTGCATTACAAGAAAGCAATTGAGGCGTTGGAAAAAGTGGAGAGAAGAGCAACTAGGACTGATTGAAGGGCCTGGAAGGGTAAAACAATACGAAGGACGGCATTGCAGGAACCGGGGATGTCTAGTTTAATGAAAAGAAGGACTAGGGGAGACATGAGAGCAGCCTCCCAATATCTGAAGGGCTGCCACAGAGAAGAGGGGGTCCAACTATTCAAAGCAAATCGGTAGTAGATAAAACTAAACATAATTTCAGGTGAATTGGACTTTTGTGGAGGCGAAGATGACTCAAGATCGATAACGCGTTTGACTCCTCCCTCCCTCGGGCTCAGCCTAGTCATTTCCTACATCAACCTTGCCAAATCATTTTCTTTTTTTGGGGGGGGTGCTAAAGGCCCCCTGGGGTTCCTTGACCGGTGGATATTTTGCCAGAGCAAGGAAGGCCACGCATGTTTTTCATCCTTCGTTCAGCCCGCCTCTTCAAGCTCTTCATTTCGGCCTTGCACTGGGGAAAGGGTTCGATTCCGTTTGGGGAATCTCTTAGCCACGCATTGCCCCCCACCCCCTTTTTTTTTTCATCCTGGTCTCTTCATCCGGCCCGTCTTTCTGGGCCTTTTTCCCCCACGATGCCACTTTGGAGATGATGAAATCTCTTGGGGGGGGGGGGGGGGGATAGAATCCAGACCTGGAATTTTCAGAACGGTTTAACGGACTTTCGCATGCCGACTCTGGATTCTCGCACGTTCCGACCAGATGCAGATGGACGGGCTGCTGGCGGTTCGCTTGCGTTCTTCGGCCAAAGGACGAAAGGTTCACGGGGGAAGGAAGACTCCCTTGAGCAAAATGCAGAAGGTTTTCCTGCCTTCCCCTCTACTCCTCATCATCCTCTCCACCCTGCAGGGTAAAAACCTGATTAATGGTGAGTTATTTCGGGAGACCTAAAAATCGGAGGCCTTCTTCTCTGTGACTGTTTTCAATTTCCTGGGTTATATTTTAAAGCACGTGGGGCTCTTAATTTGCCCCTCAAAATGGCTGGTTCAAAATAATATGGGTGTCTTGAGTTACTTATCAAGTAATAAAGGCAGGATAAGACTCTTAAATCACTCAATAAAACAAGCGATCATGAATTTCTGGTGCTGTCGTTCTTGTTTTTGGCTTGGCTTCCCTTGTTCATGCCCTGGCCCTAATTTGACATGGGAAAGCAGATAACAGATAATCAGAGCTGGAAGGGACCTTATAGGGACCTTATAGGTCATCTAGTCCAACCCCCCGCCCAAGTGGGAGACCCTACATCATTTTGGAAAATAGAGTAGAGAATAACACGCATCCTAAATAAACACAGAATACTCAGTAAATGACGCTTTTTTTTTCAGTGCCGTTGTAACTACAGTCACTAAATGAACTGTTGTAGGTCGAGGACTACCTGTGTAGTAGTGTTTTTTCCCCCATCTCTATTTTTTTCTCTTCTGCTCCTTAGATCCTTATAAACCTGAATGTGTCCGCCGGAAAATGTTGTGCCACCCGAAAGCGATTTGTCAACGGGATGTTCTCTCTTCGGAGTTTTATTGCCGTTGCTTGCCAGGCTACGACGGAGACGGGATCAATCTTTGCCAAGGCAAGTCCCACTCGTCTCTTTCTTCCCACTCATGTCCTTTTAGGTGACCTCAGCAGCTTCCAAGGGGTGGGGACTTCAACTCCCAGCATTCTCCTCAACGCCCGGTGGAATTCTCGGATACAAAGCCCACCAAGTCATGGCTGGGAATTATGGTGGCAGGAGAATCCAGGGAACTTGATGGAGAAAGAAGAAGGAAAAGAAAGAAAGAAAAAGCGAGAGTGAGAGAGAGAGAGAGAAGAAGAAGAAGAAAAGAAAGAGAAAGAAAGAAAAAGAAAAAAGAAAGAGAAAAAGAAAATAAATAAATATTGGCATCTATTTGTACTTGTAAAAAAATTTTCTGGGCTTGATGGAGAAGGAAGGAAGGAAAAAGGGAAGAGAAAAGAAAAAGAAAAAGAGGAAAGAAAGAAAAGAGAAAGAAAAAGAAGGAAAGGAAAAGGAAAAGAAAGAAAGAAAAAAAATATTGGCATCTATTTGTAGTTTTTTAAAAAAGTTTAAAGTAGCCTGCTTGGAACTATTTCTGGGCTTGATGGAGAAGGAAAGAAAGAAGGAAAAAGAAAGAAAGAAAAAAGAAAGAAAATGAAAGAAACAAAAGAAAAAAAAATAGAAAGAAGAGAAAGAAAAGAAAAGGATTGGCATCTATTTGTACTTTTAAATTTTTTTTAAAGTAGCCTGCTTGGGACTATTTCTGGGTTTGATGGAGAAAGAAGAAGGTTAAAAAAGAAAAAGAAGAAAGTAAAAAAATTGGCATCTATTTGTACTCTTTTAAAACTTTTGAAGTAGCCTGCTTCGGACTGGAGGAAGCAAAGGATATTGTTTTTGTCTAAGATGGTCTAAGATCAGGGGGAGGCAGCAGGTTGGACTAAAAGACCTCCATTCTATCTTTCTGTCATCCCTCTTGAGAACAACTCCTCAATTATTGAATTGAACATTTTATTTGGCCGAGTGTGATTATTCATCATGTCCCTTTTCCACAAGGCAAGGTAGAGAAAAGGCGGGGAAATATACCCGGCGTGCTGAAAACGGTCAGATGTTGGGTTTCTTGCTTCTTCTTCTTCTTCTTTTTAAATCCCCAAATTCACCTTCCTTATCGTTTTTTGCAGCCCCCGCTTTCCACATCACCGTTTCTGACGCTTCCGTTTGCGATGAGATGGGCGAGCAGGTGTGCCTCCTCCACCTGAAAGAGCCACGCGTCACTTTCCACGTCTCCGTCTCGTCTTCCGCCCACCGACGCTCGCCCAGCGTGATCTGGTACAAGTTTTACAACGGACAGAGTCCGCAGTACCACAGGTGAGGTTGCGCTGTGGAAGGTTTCTCCGGCTTAAACAAGAGCATCTGTTTGGGAACAAGTAAAATTATGGGTATTCATTGGAAGGCAGGAAATTTCCAAGGTACAGATAGTCCTTGACTTACGGCAGTTTGTTGTCGTAAAACTCACTTAACAAAGGTCTCCCTGGGCTCAGTTCTGGTCGTAAGTTAAGGGAGACCTATGCTTTTTTTTTTTTTAACAAAGCGGGGTTTTTTCCCTTCCTCGTAGCTACCGACAGCGGTTGGGATCCATGGGGAACAGGACTCTGAGGATAACGGTGCACAACCGTAGCCATATCCTGACCCTCCTCTCGATCCAGGATGACGATTTTTACCCCAATCTTTTCTGGGCAGAAGTGAAGCTCTGCGCCCTGACCCCCAAAACTCTGGGAATTGAAGCTTACGACTTAACCCGCTTTCAAATGTTAAACCCTTCTGGACTGAGGTTCTATTTCGCCCTGGAGGGAGAATCGATCGGTAAGATGGAGTCAGTGGTGAGAAAAGCGCCGTCCTTGCAGTTAGGCAGGAAAAGCTCAACACGCAGGTGTAGAATAGGTGATACCTGGTTCAATAGAAGGAACGGGAGGAGGACGATCACTTAAATAGGAGCCGGCTGTGTGCTGCAGCAGCCAAAAACGCCAATGCAATCCTTGGCTGCATTAACAGAGGGATAGAATAAAGTGTTAATATCACTGTCAACTCATCAAACATTCCTATGCCTGTTTTAGTAGTTGCCAAAAAAAGGGGGGGGGAGGAAGGAAATCTGGAAGAGCAGTGCAGCAGTTTGAAAGCGGAAGTACATTCCAACTCTTTATCTTGAAAAGAGTGTAGCTAAGATACCGGAGCTTTTGCCCACAAATATATTTAATTGGAGAACGTGATTGATAACACCCAGCCCGTAAACGGGCTCAATTGGAGAATCTGATTTATGACACACCCAGGGGGGAGGTGGGGAAACAGGGTCACAGTGGGCTGTAAATGACGTAGGCCAGAGTTGGCAGTGCCAGTATGTCACCTCTAATAAATCCTTTGAAGGTTTTTGAAGTTTGGCTTGAGAATCATGATATAATTAGGGCGATTGCTGGAATCCTGACAATCACTTTTATAACGCCTTGGTAAGGCCACCCTTGGAATATGGCATCCAGTTTTGGTCACCACATTACAAAAAAGAGGTTGAGACTCTGGAAAGAGTGCAAAGAGAAGAGCAACCAGGATGATTAGGGGACTGGAGGCTAAAACATATAAAGAACAGTTGCTGGAATTGGGTATGTGACTCTAGTTTAATGAAAAGAAGGACCAGGGGTGACATGATAGCATCTTCCAATATTTGCAGGGCTGCCACAGAGAGGAGAGGGCCAACTATTCTCCAAAGTACCTAAGGGTAGCGCGAGGAGTAACTTATGTATAAAGAATGGAATGGAGGAGGAGGAGGAGGAGGAGGAGGAGGAGGAGGAGGAGGAGGAGAATTTAGAATAGAAAATAGAAAATAAAAAATAATAGAAAATAGAATGTAGAATAGAATAGAAAAGAGTAGAATATAGAATAAAATAGAATATGGAATGGAATGGAATAGAATAGATGAAGAATAGAATGGAATGGAATGGAATAGAATAGAATAGAATAGAATAGAATAGAATAGAATAGAATAGAATAGAATAAATGAAGAATAGAATAAATTAGGAATGGAATAGAATAGAATAGAATAGGAACATAGAATAAAATTATATATATAAGATTTTCCTCTTTGCCTTCTCGTCTTACCTTATTAATTTCCAAAAGGGAATTAGCCCCTTTCTTTTCCCTGACACGTTTCCAATTTGATGCAATGGAACACTGAGAGATTTCTTCGTTGTTTCCCTTCTTCCCCCCACCCCTCCTTCCCCCCCGGAAAAGAGGTTGGACCCTTCCTGGAAGGAGATACAGTGGCCCTCCGCTTACCTGAGTACCTTCACCTCTCGCCTTCCAGCTTCGTTCAGTGGATCAAGGAACCACGCCCGCTGACCTTGAGGGACAACCAAGCTGTGGTCATTGCCGACGACGTGGAAGAGATGGAGATCAGCGGTTTAACGTAGGCTGGCTTGCTTGCTGTCTGCTTGTAAAATAAGAGGCGGGTTAGCCGTTCACCCAACCATTCCTATTTCTAGAAGGAAAGCCATCACCAGACACATAGAGAGAAAACCACATTTACGCGCCATTTAAAAGAGGCAGTAAAAAGCTAGGAAGGAAAAGCTAGGAAGGAAAAAGACCAGAGCGCATCCCTTCCAGCAGGCAATGCATTGGAGATAAGCGGGGATTAACCCCAGACAAACGACCGAGCAGAAAACAATCATCTTATTGATTTATTTACATTTCTTCGTCAAATGAAAATTACAAATTTGAACGAGCAAAGGGCAAAAATTAAAACGTGACAGGGACGATGGATACGTTAGTGCCCTCACACACATCCCCTTGGGGATATCTGAAATATGGGGTGAGGCCCACGGAAGTAAAGTTAGAATTAAAACTCTGGAAGTTAATGACTGAGACAACCAATAATTCTGGACTTCGACAACAGGCCAAAAATCGTTTTTTTTTTCCTGATCATGTTTAAAGCGATTGTAATAGTCCTTTACTGCTACGTAAGGAGAAAACACCTCCACCAATAGAGGCAGGGCAGCCTACTATATACAAACCAGGAACAAACCCCACACTCCCTAGCGCTGATGAGGTTACCTAGTCAGGTAATGAAACGTTTGCAAGCAAACAACCCAGCTCAGAGAGCACCAGGGACTCCACAGAAGCAAAGCAAATCCAAAATGGGAAACAAAAACGGCTTTCTGTTTGGGATCAATAAAAATGGAGCCCCTTTTCTGCCCGTTTCAGGAAATTTTCTGCAAGCCTTTTTTCTCTTTTTTCTTCTTCTTTCAGAATTGGCCAATATTTGCTGTGTGTTTTTTGTCCCTTCTTTCCATCTTGCAGGGAGTCCAGTTTTGGTTACGTCCGAGCCCTGGTTTACGATTTCCATTCGGAGGTTCCTGGACGTGTTTTGGTAGCGGAAAGACTCTTCTTGATAAAGAAAGGTAGGTAGTGGATTTTTCCCTCTGCCTCTTCGAATTCCCGGACAGCGTCCTAACCTTGGTTTAATTGGACTGTGTTAATTCTGATTTGACACTCCGTGGAAACCTGGAACAGACAAACCATGTTGCCTCTATTTCTAGACGTCAGCAAAACCTGCAAGGGAAGTGGAGAAGGAAGGCGTTGCCGTTGCAACCCAGGGTTCGAAGGAAGGGGTGTGCATTGTGTCGGTAACTTTTGAGCTTTGCCTCTTTGTAGCTGTGTGTTTCTGGGTCTGGGTTGTTAGCCTTGGCGAGGATGGAAATCTACCGAAGTAGGTTTTGTAACCGAAAAGGAGATTTAAAATGATAGGAAATCCCCTAGCAACGTTAAAAAAAAATAATAACTCAGAGAGAGCCTGTGGATTCTCCAGCAAAGGATCCCAGATTAGTAACCTCTCAGATCAAAAGCAGCAGGTTGATAAATGGGGAGGGGCTGTAGTATTATTATTGATCCTTATTATTATCTTTCTTTTAAAAAGGTTTTGAATGTTCAGAATATTATCAATGTTCAATAGCAATATCACGTTCGAAGTATTCAAATCCTGTTTTTTATCCTCCCCTTACGATTATAATTCTGCCCAATTTTTTTTAATAAATAGTGTATTTTTATTTCTCTTTCTCTCTCCTTCCTTCCTTCCTTCCTTCCTTCCTTCTTCCCTCCCCTTCCCTTCCCTCCTTCCATTCTCCTTATCACCCTTCCTTTCTTCCTTTCTGCCTTCCTTGTACCTTTTCCTTCACTTCTCCTCCTCCTTCTCTCCCATTCCTTTCCCCTTTTTCTTTCTCCCTTTTCCCTTTCTTCCTCACTCTTTTTCCACTACCCCTCCATTCCTCCTCCTCTCCTCCATTCCTCTTCCTCCCCCTCCTCCTCTTCCACTATTCCTTATCTTCCTCTTCTTCTTCTTTCTTCCTTC